ATTTGTATTACTTTTTTAAACATTTCTATTTAGTTTAGTTTAGTTTTGGTTTTAATCATTTCGGTACTTCAACTTAAGTTCATTTTATTTCAGTTAGTTGCCAAGGCAACATTTCTTTCAGATGTTTTCTTCGAATATTTATATTTTATAAAAATATATATAATAAATGTTTTCATTTATTATTTTATTTCAATTAACAAACATTTTTCAATAGTTTGCTATCAATAACAGCACAGATATGCACACAATAAAGCTCTTTCTGATACACACAAAGACACAAATTATATTAATAATACACAATATTATTTAAATATTTTATTAATATTTATTTTATAATATAAACGTGTGTTCCATTTTTAATATATAGTATTTTCCACATTAAATTAATGAGAATTGTGGCTAATTGTCATGAAAATAATTGTAAACATTAATTTTATAATATATAATTTTTTTAATCTATTTAAGTGTATAATATTGTCATGTTTGTTATGTTTTCAGTCACTGTGAGAGCACCACGTTGACGTGCGGCCCATGTCCTGTAACTGGTTTCGCCTCCACACTAACACCAACCACCGTCAGCAACACCCCGACGCCGCTCCCGTTTTCCACCCCGGTGCCTGCCGATGCCTGCGACAGAGCGATGGACCTGGCCTTCCTCGTGGACGGCTCCTCTGCTCTGAGTGAAGAAGACTTCGGCTTGGTCAAGCTCTTCATCCTCCGTGTGGTGGAACGCTTCCGCATGGGTTCGGCCCATACTCGCGCCACGGTCCTGCTCTTCCACTCCGGCGTGAAAAGTTACGACATGCAGGTGCAGAAGTGGATCTTCAAGAAGATGGTGCGTGATCTGCGTTACAGCGGAGGCGATGTTGCGTTCATGGACGAGGCCATAAAATATCTAGCCGTCTACATTTACGATAAAAACAAGCGCGAGCATGCGGGCCGCGTCGCTATCTTGCTGACGGCGAGTGCAAATCCTCGGCCCATGCGTAGTACTCAGCGTCTGCTGCGTAAAAAAGACATCACCATCCTCACGGTGGCTCTAGGGCCTGACGTCAACATGGCACAGGTTAATGAGATCACGAAAGCCACACCCAGCAGTCGCTCATACGTGGTGAGCAGCGTGTCGGAGCTGGACGATGAAGCTCTGGCCATCACGGACTACCTCTGCACTTTGGGATTGGATCCTGAACCCCCAAAGAAACCCTCTACCACAAAGCCCAGCACCACTTCAGTCACCCCAACAACTACCGCCACCTCTAAACTCACTGCCGCCACGATTCCGCCAACCGCTGCCATTGTAAACACATTTCCCAGCATCCCCAGCCCTGGAACAACATTTCCTCCACCTACAGTAACAACATACGAGGTCGTCTTCCTGTTGGAAAGCTCAGATGCAGTTGGCGAGGAGGGCTTCAATAAAACACGTGATGCTTTGGTTGATGTCGTTGCTTCGCTTGATCAAAAAGAGGTGGAGAATCTACGGATCACAGTGGTGCAGTACTCCTTCACGGTTACTGTGGTGATCAGCCGCATGGAATTGCAGCACAGGGAGCAGGTGTTGCAAAGAATGCGACAATTACGTTGGACCAAAGGTGCGGAGGTCAACACAGGCCACGCCATTCGTTCTGTGTATGAGACTGTCACTACAGACACACCCAGTAATATGCCAGACCAGATGGTGTTTCTCATCACACAGAGCCCTCCGACGGACGTCATTCAGCGGCCTCCGAGCTCCGCTCATAAAAAAGTGTATCCGATTGGGATCGGCCAACAGATTCGATATGAGGATCTGGTGCAGTTGAGCTTCCCGGATGAACCGATCATGCTGGATAATCCTTCGGATCTTAAGATACTGCGGCCCATGCTGATCAATATCAGTAAAACCATCAGAAGGCCTGTGCTGCCCACACTGCCACCCAGAGCCACGCTGCCCCCTTCAGGTCAGATACAACAACAACGCTACACTCTTTTCGCATATTGTCACATTCTAGGGCTGCACCATTTAGGAGAAAAAAATTAACTTTGGAAAAAAGCTCTAGGTTTGCTGTGCTTTTTTGTAGGCCTATACAATTTGGCCAAAATATTGTGATATATCAATATAACTGTAAAATAATAATTAATAATATTTATGATTATTTTATTTTTACCAATTTAAAATATTATTAATATTTAAATATTAATGTAACAATACAAAAAATAATATATAAATAAATAAATATAATTTTCTTTACAACAGTAAAAATTAGACTTTGCGATTTGATAATCACACTAAACCAGTGGTTCTCAAACTTTATGACTCCAAGGCCCCTCCATTATTAACAATAATATTCAAAGACCCCATGACCTTTTCAGTTGTTTATGATTTACTGGATTAGGATTTAAATGTTGTTTTTTTTTAAATAAATTTTTGTAATAATATTTTTTACTCAAAGTATTTAGAACTTGGAATAATAACAAAAATTTGTTTTTTATATTATATATAAAAATGCATATGGAGTTTAAAAAATGTAATTAATAATTTTTTTTTTTTTTTTTACTCACTTTTAAAATTAGGCTACTGCATATATCCAGGTTTTCCAAGACTGGGGGAACCCTGGTTCTTCAAAGGAAAAAAATAGTTGAATGAATTAACATAAGAAATATGTTGATTTTTTGTTGTTTTAGCTGTTTTAATGATGTTTTATCTTATTTTATTTTATAATTTTAAGTCATCTTGAGGCCCTCTTAGAAGTTTGCTGATGTTGAGAACCACTGCACTAAACCATAATGATTTCAATTTTATCTAATTGTGTAGCCCTACTATGTTCTTTCTTTTAAATTGCTAGTATCTAGCAACTGCTGCCTAGCAACCGCCCAGAACAATGTAGCAACCACTCTGAATGCCCTAGCAACCATCCAGAACTCTCTAGCAACGGCCCAGCAACCACTCATGACACCTTAGCAACAATCTAGTAACTGCTTACTTACCCAGAGCAGCCTAGCAACCACATAGAACACCTTAGCAACCATTTATCACTTTCCTAGTAACCCATGCAAAGCTCAAGCTGATATTTGAATTTTGCCGTTTCTAGTTGTTGAATGCAAAGATAGTCAATGCATAGATGCTTAAGGAGTGAATACATACATGCTTTCTTTGTAATTCTATCTGTGTGTGTGTTTGATCAGTGCCATGTTCAAAGCCCATGGACGTGCTGTTCCTGCTGAGAGCCTCTTCTGATAACCAGTTTGAAGACTTCAAAACATTTGTGAGAACCTTTATAAAGGGCACAAATATCGGTAAGTCTCAATAAGATATATATATATATATTTTTTATATACATTATAATGGTTACTTCTAGAGTTGTACTTATCTGTGTTGCAGGTCGCAATGACACACAGGTGGCGGTGATAGTGTATGGGGCAAAATCAACAGTTGCGGTCACATGGAGGGATGAACAGACAGAAGACAACCTTCTCAAGCTTTTAGAAACCTTACACAGCAAGACAGACAACACACCAAGACTAGGTAAACATGCCGTGAAGACACAGCAGATACAGTACAGCCTGACAGTTAAAATATTCACCACGCTACATAAATGTGGGCGTTCCTTCCTCTGTCTCTGCAGGAGCTGCACTGCGATTGGCCGTGCAGACAGCCATTTCCTCCACCAGCGGGGGACGGATGGGCATCCCTAAAGCTGTGGTTATGGTGGTGACTGACAGGTCAATAGACTCAGTGCAAGAGGCAGCAAACGAGGCTCTGACCGCTGGTGGGTGAAATTGTTTTACCGCTTTATCAATGCACTCTTTTAAGTGGTCTTTAAAGTAATGTTCAGGATTCAATAGAAATGTAACATTATTAACAGCATCAATGGTACATTGATTTCTACTCCAATTTAAATTCCCTCAGACTGTAAAACAAGCCTGTTTACAGTAATGCATAATGTCTATGGGGCAAGATATTTCAGATTTAAAAGCAATACCGTGCAGCTTGTATTTTTGTTTAAAAAAAATTTCTGTATGTATGAAATGTGATTTATTTTTAAGTTGTAAAATTAGGGATTATTTAAAAGCAGAACTGTTCAGTTTATTAAGTTTTAAACATGCTTGATTGGTTTTACTTCTTTACTATGTACAAAAAAATATTTTTGAGATGTTGTCTAAAGCAGAGGGATGAGTTGAAATGATTTTCTGCTGTAATCAACAGCATGTCACTACAAAAGTATTTTAGTGTCATGTTAACATTAAAAAATAAAATAAAAAAATGGAATCTAAATGTATTTTGAGAATAAAATCATGATGTTTTGAAAACATAACAGGCCTTTTATGGGAATAAAAATCATAAAGTTTAAAGAATACATTTGTAGCATTATGAAATGAAATCACAGCATTATTAGATTAAAGTCATGATGAGTATAAAGTCATAAGGACTGTAACATCAAAGTGAAGTGCAGTCAGCCACTGGTTGCTACTTCAGATTGCATAAAGAGGCAATTTCCTAAATGTCTGTCTTGTTCCTTCTCATGAATAAATTCAATTTCCTACATAACTGCTCTATTGTCCTCATACTAATGACAACTTGGGGCTGATGCAGCAATAGACCAAGGATTTCTTTGTTAGTAAATACTACATATCTACTTTATTTACATAATATTATGCATTTAAAATCCTACTTTTATGATTTTAATTACGTAACATTATGACTTACAAGTAGCTCGTGTTTGTTGCATACAGGTGTGTCAGTGTTTCCTATTGGACTGGGTAACCAGTATGACCAGACTGAACTGAGCACGCTCGCGGGATGGCACGCTCAGGACAACATCATTCGGCTCAGCAGCACAGAGTACCTGCTCGCCATGGCTGCACTCGACCAGTCGTTCACCGACAAACTCTGCAGGGGTGAGACTCTCGTATACACACACACATATAACACAATAAAACAGGAATACTGTAGCAGTTTGATTATGGTGATGGTGATGATGATGATGATGTCCCTCAGCGGGTCCTCCTGGAGTGTGTGTGGATGATGAAGGGAATGAACGGAAGGTGAGCTGTGTTTTAGTAGGATGCAAAATTCCCATCATTCCATCAAACTCCCATTAAAGACCTCAACTTATTTACATCAGCTTCTGATTTTCTACCATTCAAACTCTTGATCTGATGCAAACCTTCCAAGAACAATCTGTCTTTCACTGGATCTCGGGATCCATAATATTTTCACTGAACCAGACATTATGGGCCATTAACTTCATCTCTCAAAAAACCTAAGTTACAGCTGATCGCTAACGAATAATTTAATAATAGGCTAGTAACATATTCGATGCAAGTACGCAAACATGAATGCTTGGCCAATGCATTACAAGCATGCACATGCACTTTTGGGTGGCAATGGCAGTAGCTAACCTCTGAACTCAGGGGGGCGATCGAGTTACATTTAAAGGTTTATGCCATTAAAGCTCAATGTGATGTTATTCAGACAGTTAGCTATAAATGTCAACGCTTAAACCAACCAGCTTTTAAAGAGTCTGTTGACAGCAGATGTCCTGAAAGAGAAAAATGACAACAGAAGAAAGTTTATGCTAATGCCCCCTATAGCACCACATTTCAGAATGCAACAAATGCATACAGTAGCTTGCATAGACAGAAGTGTTTGCGTTCACTTACTTGCATATAGTATGTTTTAGCCTACCTAGGGCTGCACGACTTTTTGGCTGTTTTGGGCTTTTTCTGAAATTGCAATTTATAGTGCTATAAAACTCCAGGTTATAAAGTTCCAGGCTTGCTGTGCCTGTTTGTAGGGTTGCACAATTTGGCCAAAAATGATGCGAGTATATATCAATATAACTATAATAATAATAATTGTATTGTAAAATAAAATAATTATTAGATTAAATTTTAAATCAACTAAGAAATATTACTTTCATAATGTTTCATTGTAAAATAAAAAAAGTATTTAAGAAAAATTATATAATTATTTTATTTTACATTAAAACTGTAATATTACAAAACTAGTATTTTTGGATGTCTTAATTTTTTCATTTTCAAATTTTAAACCATAAAGCTTGTATTTTGGTGGAAAACCGCAGTGTCAGTTTATAAGCACTTTTCTTCACAAGTTTGGGAAGATGGTTGACGTGTGTTGCGTTTTCAAATGCCCGTTACGAATGACTCAGAGCAGATGCAGAGATGGAGTTCGAGATGGTTTTACTGTGAGCCAAGCTGCTCTGAGACAATGAAAATACTGGATCATGAGCTGTTCGCGTATAAAAGAACACAGTGCAGCGCTTCACTCTGAAACACACGGCACATATACTATATGCAAATAAATTGCAGCCTTTCTGTTTGCCATTTAGCGATTTCGGTTTTATTTCGATTAATCGTGCAGCGTCTACCGCAGACTAACAAAGGCTCCTGATGTTCTGGTTTGTACATCTAATGATCTATTCTGATAATTTCTTTCCATCAGCCCGGTGAGACGTGGTTGTTGCCAGACGGCTGTCACTCAGTGCTGTGCAACCCATCAGGCACGGTAACGGTGCAGAGCCACCGCATCAACTGTGAGAAGATGGAGCCTCCCGTCTGCAAAAACAACCTCCCAGCCCTCCGCTACAATCACACCTGCGGCTGTACCTGGACCTGTCCCTGTACGAACACACACCCCTCACTATACAGCAACCAATCCTGTTACTAATCTCATCACACCATGCAATGCACCACAACCTTCCAGTGTTAAGTAATATCACCTGTAGATTTCAACAGTTGTTTTCTTGTCTCATTATTTGATTGGACAGCCAAAAGTAGTAATTTTTTCACAAACTTGGCTTAAAAATGCAAAATAACTAGTTGTCAAGTCAAGTCAAGTGACAACAATTTAGTGTACTACTGTTTAAAAAGTTGTTTGCTCCCTAATGCATTATAAAATTGCATGAATTGTAAACTTCAAAATGCATACTTCCATTCCTACAGGTAGTTGCATGGGCAGCTCCACTAGTCACGTTGTGTCATTTTCGGGTGCGGCTCTGAAACTGAGAGCCGCTTGCTCCTATTTGCTGCTTCGCTCAGGAGGGGTGGAGCTAGTGTTGCATACAGCTGCCTGTCAAAGCTCACCCAATCAGATCTGCATGAAGAGTCTGGAGCTGAGGAAGGGTGGAACGAGTGTGGTGCTACGGGATGACATGAAGGTTGATAAATTGCAAAAGCATGCAAAGTGAAGAGTTCACTAAATTAGCAAAGAGGGTCAACATGTTTCTCTGTACTGCAGGTGACTGTGGGCGGTGTGATTACTGCAGTGCCATTCAGAAGTGAGGGAGTGACTGTGACACAAATTGGTGCAATACTGCACCAGCTGAGATCAGAGCAGCATGGTTTCACACTCACCTTCACTCCTCACAGCAATGAGTTCATGGTCAATATGGACATCACCATGAAACCTAACACCACTGGCTTATGTGGTAAATACATTTCCTTTAAGCTTACGACAGTAATTTTTTGAGTGTGATTGTTTAGGAGAGTATAAGTCTGCCTGTATCATGTCGTGTGGTATTCAAAATTAATTATTTTAAATTTAATTTAAATGTCTAAAAGTGATTTAAGATTGCATGCAAAACTGTCAAATTCAAATTTGAAGAATTATTGAATTATGAAATTCAAAGAAATGTATATATCTGCTCTGAGGGCTTTTGTTTAACATTTGTTAATATATGTTTTTATTTATTCGTAATCATATGGGATATTTCCATTAGATGATATTAGCACTTCTGTCATGACAACTCTCAGAGAGTTTAGCACAGTAAGATGCATGTCAATATTAATATGTTGGTCTTGGCGGAATAGATCTGCTACGCTGCTGCTGCCGAGACTTGCTACTGCCAATACATCCACAGACATGCTGCTGTGAGCATGTAGGAAAAACTGCTGCCGCACAAATATGAAATAACCCCCATATATAACATACATGAAATCACCCCATAGCAGATCTATACAGGTGGAGCTGGGGAAGGTGGAGGGTTTCTGAAGCATGCTGCAACTGCTAAAGCAAGCACTAGCCAAATATTTGAATGTTGAGAAGCAAGCTCATTGGCTGCAGATGTGAAAAGAAACCAATCAGCTGTGCCATGTGAATAATGATGTGATGATATCAGATTGGTTAGACCTATCGGCCTGCGCCATCTTAAGTGATATAATAATCTATGTAATGCCACCTATAGAAATTTGTATTTAATTCAATATTTAAAATGTATATTTCTTTAAAATGATTATATTTGAATTTAAGAATTGAATATATATAATGTTGTATTATATACAATGTATTATAAAATATAATATATATATACACGCTAGAAATTAATATTTATTTTAATAGTTAATAGTAATGTTTATTTCTTCAAATGTTTAATTTTAAATTAATAATTTAAAAAAAAAACCTGAATAAAACGTGACTATGCTGAATTTCTTTGAACTGCACTTCCTCTTCCTGTCATTCTAATTTAAAGTCCAATTCAACATCCTGTGGTGTGTGGTATTACATGAAACACATGAATCAAAATAGGGCCTTTTTTTTTTTTTCTTAACCTCCCATAGTTTTTCCCAACCACCCATTGTGTGATGTACATAACTTGTCCGTCTCTCTCTCAGGTTCCTGCTCTGATGATCAGACGGGTCTGGTGTTATCTGACGGCAGTGTGACCACAGACCCTGACATGTACCTGAAGGGATGGGCTCTGGGCGAATGTGTCCAGCATCAGGAGGTTCAGTCGTGTGCTGCAGGTGTGGTGAAGGGCTGCGATGTGTTAAGTTCTGAGGTGTTCAGCCACTGTCACGCACTGGTCCCCCCGCAGGACTATGTGCAGATCTGTCGGACCGTGGCCTGCCAGCCTAATGCGGTGTGTGACCTTGTTACTGCGTACAGCAGCGTGTGCCGTCAACAGGGAGTGTGTGTGGACTGGAGGACGCCCACCCTCTGCCGTGAGTCTTCTGTGATTAATGAGTCATGAAGCGAAGTGCGCGAGGACCCTGCGTGTCTCAGTTCAGTGAGAAGGTGGTCCTTTGATCAACGTGCCTTAGAAAGAGAACAAACAGGAATTACAACAGATCTGTGTGTGAAGTAATGAAAGTCTCAAGCTTGAAAGAAAGTTAATGTGGAAGCATACATCTAGTGGATGGTATTATGGAATAACTTCCCCAAAAATGAAAATGATGGCATTATTTAATCACCCTCATGTTGTTCCAAACCTTTACGCTGTTATGACTACAAAAAGAGACATATTTACACCACTTTTACCATTCTACAGCAGTTCATAGCCACCAAACTCCAATAGGACAATGAAAACACTATAGAAGTACTATAAAAGAAGTCTTGTGAGCTATAGTCTTGTGAAGACATGCCACAGATTTTTGTGATAAAAAGACTAATAATCTACTCTTTTATATTAGCATAAAAGTACTATTATAGTATTTATTAATATTTTGAATTAGCTTTTATTTTTATATTTTTTTATATTGTTTTTTTTATGTAATTTAAAAAGTTTTGTAATTTTGTCAATTTATTTGTTTTTATTTTAAATATTTCTATTTTTCTTAAAGGGTTAGTTCACCCAAAAATGACAATTCTGTCATTAATTATTCACCCTCATGTCATTCTAAACACGTAAGACCTCCGCTCATCTTCGGAACACAAATTAAGATATTTTTGATGAATTCTGAGAGCTCTCTGACCCTCCCATAGACAGCAAGGGTCCTTCTCTGTGTCAGCTGCGTCACGCGGATAAGTTGAATAAAGTCATTATTTTTGTTTTCTTTGCGTACAAAAAGTATTCTTGTAGCTTCGTAAACTTACGGTTGAACCCCCGATGTCACATGGATTATTTTACCGATCTCCTTGCTACGTTTCTGGAACTTGATCGTGGTAATTACATTGTGTCTATGGGAGGGTCAGAGAGCTCTCAGAATGCATCAAAAATATCTTAGTTTGTGTTCCGAAGATGAACTGAGGTCTTACGGGTTTAGAACGACATGAGGGTGAGTAATTAATGACAGAATTTTCATTTTTGGGTGAACTATCCCTTTAAATGTATTTTTATTTCTCTTTTAGTTTTAGTAATTTTAGTACTTCATTTTAAGGAAAAAGTTTTAAAGGTTTTCATTTTGGTTAACAATAACACTGCTCTTTAGAAGATTAAAAAAGAAACAAAAATGGAATTAGAAAATGAAAAATAAAAATATATTTTTAAATAAAATAAAAAGAACAAAAAAAGAATTAATTTATTTAAAGATAAAATAATAATTAAAAAATAATTTGGTGTTTTTGTCCTTTTTTGAGCTGGACAGCCCCTGGTCTCTATGAATGTTGCTTGCAGTTCAAGCTGCATGACAATTTTGTGTTTCATGAAGAAAAAAAAAACCGGTTTGGAACAACATGAAGGTGAGTAAATAGTGATCAGAATTTGAGATAATCTAAATTTATCCTCTTATGGTGCATAATTCATCAGTGTACATTATTCTGAAAAAAGAAAAAGGTTTTCAAAAAAATGTAAGAACTTCCTCCACCTTCTTTTCTCCAATTTTTCTTTCTGCGATGGCAACCAATCACACAAGTCACACATGTGGGAAAATATGATATTGCAATGACATTATATCCAAACATTTATTTTCCAGATGGATAAAATCAAATCTCTCCCCACATAATTTCTTACTGTATATTCTCTTTTTTACTGGAAAATATTGCATTGACAGAATTAAATACGTTATGAACAGCATTTTATGTCATTAATAATTTGTGTTCTACATTTATTTGGAATTGAAGTGTCAAATACTTGAATTTCATTTTCTGTGTGTAGCCATGTCATGCTCAGACTCAATGGAGTATGCCGCTTGTCGAACCGGATGTTTGGAGCAGTGTGGACGGAGCCAGTTCAGTCCTGGTGACATGATGGGTGATGGTTTAATGAAGGGCAATGGATCAGTGTGCTTGAAAACTCCCACAGAAGGCTGTTTCTGCCCTGAAGGGTCAGTGTTAATGGGAGATAAGTGTGTAAGCAAAGAAACCTGCAGCCAGTGTGTGGACCACCATGGGAAAACTCACAAGGTGTGTTGATTTTACCATTTATTAAACATCATGCCTTTATGATATTGCTATTGCCACCACTTTATAAAACCAATAAGCCTCTGTCAGTCTCCTGATTTTAGTGTGTGTGTGTGTGTGTGTGCACTTCAGTTTATGGAAAGCTGGAATCCTGAGGAAAACCCCTGTCTTCTGTGTGTGTGTCTGGATCAGCAGCGCATTAACTGCACAGCGTTACCCTGCACCAACTCTAAAGGTAAAGACACAATGTGTATACATTGTCTCTCACTATTGCTCTCGTGCACTACACGATTAACAGCCTCATTTCTTGAAGTGGTTTCTCAATGTGTTGTCATGGCAACTGTTGCTGTGCTACAGCCCCAGAGTGTGGACAATGTGAGGTTCTTCGGGAGAAGACGGGATCTAAGTGCTGCCCTGAATATGAGTGTGGTGAGCTGAGAATACACATCTAACACAGAGAATCCAAAAATAATGTACATATATGTATATATATCATATATATATATATATACACTGTATATATGTATATATATATATATATATACTGTATATATATATATATATATATATATATATAATTTAATCAATAAGGGTGTGTAATCACCAAATTTTGTGCTTGAGTATGTATACATAACCGCGCCACACAGAGACATGCAGAATATGCAGACTTCATATTTAAACAGAAGTCTTTTTGTGCATTCATATTCAGACACTAGTCCATATTGTGATTTGATTAAGCGTACAGCCCTACTTTTGATTTATTCATCCAAAATTTGTCTTATACTGTAAAACCATTTTTATGACTGGATTCCGTGATTCGGTCTGCGTTTTCTGCATCATAGGTCCCTAGATATGTTATGTTTTGATGACATCTGATGCCACTACTACAATATAGTGTTGCTAATCTACTGTGTGTGTTTGTAGTGTGTGACCCGAACTGTAAGCGGTCAGATCCCCCTCACTGCGATCACGGGCTCAGTGTCGTCCTCACAAACCCTGGAGATTGTCTGCCAGTTTACCAGTGTGGTGAGAGCACACACACACACACACACATTCTCATTCGTTTCACAAAGATGGTTTTCAATCACATCAATCTCTTTCACCGCCCTCTCTCAGTTTGCAAAAAGGATCAGTGTCCTGTGACAACAAAACCATCCTGCCCTGCATACAAGAAGCTGTCGGTCACACCGTCAGAGTGCTGCGATTCATATGAATGTGTGTGCGACTGTCAGAACATCACTCGCACCTGCCCCCCGGGTTACATCATGAAGACAACTGCCAATGATTGCAACTGCATAGAGGTCACCTGCACGCCCGATAAGGTTGGCACGCTTTAGCGCTCCCGCTGCGCATGTGTTATTCACTTGCCCTTGCAGCTCCATGTCCTGATGAGTGTACTCTGCAATCAGCATGTAATCGACTATTTATATGTGCAGGTGTGTGTGGTGGACACTGTGGTCTACCAGGTGGGTAGCAGGTGGGATGAGAAGTGTAAAACCTGCACCTGCACGGAGCAAGCAGACAGACAGACCGGCCTGCACATCGCTCAGTGTGTGGACCCCGTCTGCAACCAGATCTGTCCTCTGGTACGTCCTACAAAACTTAGTTTCTATCTTTCTGTTTGAAAAATATCACCGCCCTGCATCATATTTGCTGGATTAAACCCAATAGTTGTTTCTTTTTCATTTTAGGGGAACTTTTGAAAATTGACTGCTTTTGTTATTTTGATAAGTGCATTAATAATGATACATATGCTGTATATTATTTATTTATTTATTATTTTGCTGTATATATTATACTTATTTTGTGAAAAAAAAACTGTCATGGAATGTTTTTATTAATATTTTTTTTAAATCAGTATCCTCAAATTAGATATTAGGTATTTTTGCAAATCAACATTTTTTTCCAAGATGCAGGGCTGCGTATATATTTGTGAAATGTTATGAATTGTATTCATTTTTATGAACACTGAATATATTATAATGATCATAAGTCACTTTAAAAGATGACATGTAGTGGCATTTACAATGCACTTAACTTCTGTATTGTGACATGCTGTATGAATATTCATATGGACTAGATTTCATCAGTTTATGATATTATGACTGTTTTTTTTATAAGGCATTCAACATTATGCATACTTTCATAAGGGATTGAATTAAATCCTAACCTCAGGTATTACATTGTTCTGCACTTATGAATGGACAAAAACCATTAAAAGTGGTTTCATTCAAAGTCTCAATGAAATGGAAGTAAAAACATATCTTTTCTTCCATATTTTGTCGAACATCCAAGTCAAATGGATTATCTGAAAACAAAAAATGAAGGGTGGGGACCTCCATTGGATGTTTATTGGATTTTGAGATGTGGGTGTTGCACTCAAAAATGAGATGAATAGGTAAGAACGAGACAGGGTTTAAGCGGACTAAATGATTGGAGAAATCCGACATGCATCACCAGAGAGAAGTCTTTTATGGGAAGATTTGAGTTATTTAGATTTGACATTAACAAAAAAGTTAAAAAATAAGAATGTATGAATCATTCACATTAAGACCAATAACAAGCATTTAGAAAATAGACAGGTTGAATTTTCATTTCAAGCTAGCAAGGCATGGTGGAAAATTGTGTAATATAACCCCATAGACTCCCATATAGTGACCAAAATATGATAGACTCTTTTGAATTGAGTCAGTAAACCTGTCTGGCACCTTAGCAACCAAATAACCAGGCAGCTACTCGCAACAGTACTTTGTTCAGAAAATGTCATGTTAACAAGAGGAAACAATTTAAAAGTGAAGAAAAGCTATTACATTTTGATGAAAGAAACAAATACATTTTCCCTTACAATAACAGGCAGTGATGAGTCATGCACAATAAGTCCATGGACATTTATAGCTAAATAATAAGGGCTGATTATGATTTCACATTGATTTTGTGTATGTAGGGAACCACATACTCTCACTCAGAGGACGAGTGCTGCGGTCACTGCCGTAAATCCAGCTGCGTGGAAGGAGGACATTTGAGACAGGCGAGTATTTAATGTCTTTTTCCTCCTACTCTCTGTCCGTGTTTGAATACTCTGCATTTACATCTGAAAGACATTCTCTTTAACTCCACATGTGTGCAGGTGGGAGAGCAGTGGGTGTCTCCGCAGGACAGATGTGTGTGGAGCGAATGTGTACAGGTCAATGAGGAAGTGTTCATCCAGCATACAAACGTGTCCTGCCACCTCATGGACACGCCAACCTGTCCACTGGGCACAGAGCTCCAGTGCAATACAGTAGAAGACTGCTGCCCGACCTGCCACTGCGGTACACAGTTTCACACACACACACACACACACACAACTAACACAGAAAATGAACTTAATGTCACACAATGGTAGATGAACTGATCAAATTTACACCATAAATGTTTATGACCTGCAACGAAACCACTTTATTTTATTTGTTTAATTTTAATATTTTTTAATTGTAATACATATATTTAAATTTTAATATTTATTAAAACATGACAATGCAGTTTTTTTAGCTGATTTTCTTTGCATATTGGTGACAAAAAAACACAAAATATTAGGAATTCACACTCTTGACCTCTTAAAAGGAAAGAACTCAAGACATTTGAAGAGTTAAATCTTTGCCATAATCGCTATTCGTTTAGGTGAGTGTTGCATGACCATCTAAATCTTAATAAAGAGGGCAACAATTATATATACACAATTGGTTAATTGATAAACACAAGCCAATATTGAATATAAATGGAGAATCTCAATTGAGTTTTATTTAAACAATTTATAAGAAACATTTAATCCGATTCTTAATATTTATTTATTGATTGATTTATTGCATGCCAAATAAGCAGCAAAGTCATAGTTGAAATTTAAAAAAAAAAAATTTTTCTTACAGTGATAAAATATAGCTATTATACGAGCAATTGCAGGTTGATAATTGATAAATATTATAACATTCCTTAAGTCTTTTTTAAAATGTCCATTAATGAATTTTCTGAATAAAGCTGTTGATTCTTAATAGTAGAAAAACCATGAAGAGGCTTTATTTACTCGCCAAATCCCATTCGGTGTTTGAAGTGTTCATTTTGGACCCTGCACACACACATTGCTCGTTCACTGCTGCTCTCTGTCATCTTTCCTTAGACTTTAATGCTGTTTTTTTCTTTCTGCAGTTCCAATGGATGTCTGTGTGCTGAATCAAACGGTTATTGCGGTAAAGACGTTGTGTTAACATACAGAATACTAATGTGCCATGTGCAGATGTCTTGGCGCATAACAGATTGACTTTGGGGTCTTACTCCGTGTGTGTGTGAGTAGGCTGGAGAGCGAGTGATGGTGGATGTGTGCACACACTGCGAGTGTGTGAAAGATAAGAGGAGTTATCGGCTCTCTTGCAGGAAGATGAGCTGCTCCCCCTGCTCAGAGGTAAAACCCTCACTCTGAAGATTATTAAAGGGGTAGTTCACCCAAAAAAATGACAATTCTCTCACTCAATTACTCACCCTCATGTCGTTTAAAACCCGTATGACTTTCTTTCATCCATAAAGCACAAAAGCAGATGTTTTGCTCATGTTTGGAGACATCCAAAGCTGCTTTTGCATGCAAGGAGCATAACTTTTAAAAAGCAGCTCTTCGATTTCATTCACATTTTTATGTTGGATATGCTGCACCAAAATGTGTCAGGTTTGACGTCCATAAAGCCAAACGGCATGGTTCTCAAACGCCTTTTGAATAAGAAAATGAGATGGAAAAAAACAGTCATTAAATATGACATGATGAGTCTTCATTTCTATGGAAACAGTCTCTAAAAAGGACTGTCAGCCCTGTATGTATGAATACAGTAACGTGTGTTTTGTTTTATAGGGATATACGCTGGAGCCCATACCTAATGCTTGCTGTGGCCGTTGTGTAGCAACTGAATGTAGCATCCGACGACCTGACAGACAGCTGGTCACTCTGAAAGTAATAAATATGTGCAGACAGAGTCATGGGTCAATGTCACAATAGCCAGAATAATCAGTGTGGAAGATACAGGTTTGAATCCCCCCTCTCACCAATAACTACCTCTACGTGCCAATGAACATGGTTAATGGCCAAAAGAATAAAACAGCCATATGTTTAGCAAGCTTAAGATCTGCAGCTTTGCTTGGAAGAACTGTTTCAAACATTTCACATGCACCCATGAAGTATATACACTACCATTTAAAATAAATACAAACTTTTATTCATCAAGGACCCATTGAACTGATCAGAAGTGACAGTAAAGACATTTATAATGTTACAACATATTTCTATTTTAAATAAACTCTCTTCTCTGGTACTTTCTATTCATCAGAGAATCCTGAAAAAAATTTTTCCACACAAATATTAAGAGATTATTATTATTATTATTATTGATCACAGGAATAAATTATATCTTAAAATAGGAAAACAATAATTTAAGTTGTAATATTTCACAATATTACTGTTTTTACTATATTTTTTATCAAATAAATGCAG